GTCCTTTTTTTATAAATCGCTCAATGTTAGCCTAATTTCACAAATTTGTCCAAGCTTTCAATTTATCATAATGTCTTTTCCTTCAGCAATAGCGTCATCCAATTCCTTTAAACTTTGATCGCTCAAATTTATCATAATGTCTTTTCCTTCAGCAATCGTCATCCAATAAGCAGTTCCTTTAATACGTTGATCGCTCAATGTTAGCCTAATTTCAAAATTTGTCCAAGCTTCAGCAAATTTATCATAATGTCTTTCCTTCAGCAATCGTCATCCAATAAGCAGTTCTTTTACTACGTTGATCGCTCAATGTTAGCCTAATTTCACAAATTTGTCCAAGCTTCAGCAAATTTATCATAATGTCTTTCCTTCAGCAATCGTCATCCAATAAGCAGTTCCTTTACTACGTTGATCGCTCAATGTTAGCCTAATTTCAAAAATTGTCCAAGCTTCAGCAAATTTATCATAATGTCTTTCCTTCAGCAATCGTCATCCAATAAGCAGTTCCTTTAATACGTTGATCGCTCAATGTTAGCCTAATTTCAATTGTCCAAGCTTCAAAATTTATTTGTCCAAGTCATTTCCTTTTAGTTGATCGCTCAAATTAATTTATTGTCCAAGCATAATGTCTTTCCTTCAGCAATCGTCATCCAATAAGCAGTTCCTTTACTACGTTGATCGCTCAATGTTAGCCTAATTTCACAAATTTCCAAGCTTCAAAAATTTGTCCAAGTCTTCAGCAATCGTCATCCAATCATTTTAACGTTGATCTTTCCTTCAGCAATCGTCATCATCATAAGCAGTTCCTTTAATAAGCTACGTTGATCGCTCAATGTTAGCCTAATTTCACAAATTTGTCCAAGCTTCAGCAAATTTATCATAATGTCTTTCCTTCAGCAATCGTCATCCAATAAGCAGTTCCTTTACTACGTTGATCGCTCAATGTTAGCCCTAATTTCACAAATTTGTCCAAGCTTCAGCAAATTTATCATAATGTCTTTCCTTCAGCAATCGTCATCCAATAAGCAGTTCCTTTACTACGTTGATCGCTCAATGTTAGCCCTAATTTCACAAATTTGTCCAAGCTTCAGCAAATTTATCATAATAATGTCTTTCCTTCAGCAATCGTCATCCAATAAGCAGTTCCTTTACTACGTTGATCGCTCAATGTTAGCCCTAATTTCACAAAATTTGTCCAAGCTTCAGCAAATTTATCATAATGTCTTTCCTTCAGCAATCGTCATCCAATAAGCAGTTCCTTTACTACGTTGATCGCTCAATGTTAGCCTAATTTCATAAATTTGTCCAAGCTTCAGCAAATTTATCGTCATAATGTCTTTCCTTCAGCAATCGTCATCAATAAGCAGTTCCTTTACTACGTTGATCGCTCAATGTTAGCCTAATTTCAAAATTTGTCCAAGCTTCAAAATTTATCATAATGTCTTTCCTTCAGCAATCGTCATCCAATAAGCAGTTCCTTTACTACGTTGATCGCTCAATGTTAGCCTAATTTCAAATTTGTCCAAGCTTCAGCAAATTTATCATAATGTCTTTCCTTCAGCAATCGTCATCCATAAGCAGTTCCTTTACTACGTTGATCGCTCAATGTTAGCCTAATTTCACAAATTTGTCCAAGCTTCAGCAAATTTTATCATAATGTCTTTCCTTCAGCAATCGTCATCCAATAAGCAGTTCCTTTACTACGTTGATCGCTCAATGTTAGCCTAATTTCACAAATTTGTCACAAAAATTGCTTCAGCAAATTTATCATAATGTCTTTCCTTCAGCAATCGTCATCCAATAAGCAGTTCCTTTAATACGTTGATCGCTCAATGTTAGCCTAATTTCTAAAATTTGTCCAAGCTTCAGCAAATTTATCATAATGTCTTTCCTTCAGCAATCGTCATCCAATAAGCAGTTCCTTTACGTTGATCGCTCAATGTTAGCTCTACTTTCTAAATTTGTCCAAGCTTCAGCAAATTTATCATAATGTCTTTCCTTCAGCAATCGTCATCCAATAAGCAGTTCCTTTACTACGTTGATCGCTCAATGTTAGCCTAATTTCACAAATTTGTCCAAGCTTCAGCAAATTTATCATAATGTCTTTCCTTCGAGCAATCGTCATCCAATAAGCAGTTCCTTTACTACGTTGATCGCTCAATGTTAGCCTAATTTCACAAATTTGTCCAAGCTTCAGCAAATTTATCATAATGTCTTTCCTTCAGCAATCGTCATCCAATAAGCAGTTCCTTTACTACGTTGATCGCTCAATGTTAGCCTAATTTCACAAATTTGTCCAAGCTTCAGCAAATTTATCATAATGTCTTTCCTTCAGCAATCGTCATCCAATAAGCAGTTCCTTTACTACGTTGATCGCTCAATGTTAGCCTAATTTCAAAATTTGTCCAAGCTTCAGCAAATTTATCATAATGTCTTTCCTTCAGCAATCGTCATCCAATAAGCAGTTCCTTTACTACGTTGATCGCTCAATGTTAGCCTAATTTCACAAATTTGTCCAAGCTTCAGCAAATTTATCATAATGTCTTTCCTTCAGCAATCGTCATCCAATAAGCAGTTCCTTTACTACGTTGATCGCTCAATGTTAGCCTAATTTCACAAATTTGTCCAAGCTTCAGCAAATTTATCATAATGTCTTTCCTTCAGCAATCGTCATCCAATAAGCAGTTCCTTTACTACGTTGATCGCTCAATGTTAGCCTTTCATTTGTCCAAAGCAGCAAATTTATCATAATGTCTTTCCTTCAGCAAATTCATCCAATAATGTCTTTACTATACGTTGATCGCTCAATCGTTAGCCTAATTTCAAATTTGTCCAAGCTTCAGCAAATTTATCATAATGTTGATTTCTTCAAATGTCATCCAATAAGCAGTTCCTTTACTACGTTGATCGCTCAATGTTTCAGCAAATTTGTCCAAGCTTCATAAATTTAGCATAATGTCTTTCCTTCAGCAATCGTCATCCAATAAGCAGTTCCTTTACTACGTTGATCGCTCAATGTTAGCCTAATTTCACAAATTTGTCCAAGCTTCAGCAAATTTAGCATAATGTCTTTCCTTCAGCAATCGTCATCCAATCAGTTCCTTTACTACGTTGATCGCTCAATGTTAGCCTAATTTCACAAATTTGTCCAAGCTTCAGCAAATTTAGCATAATGTCTTTCCTTCAGCAATCGTCATCCAATAAGCAGTTCCTTTACTACGTTGATCGCTCAATGTTAGCCTAATTTCACAAATTTGTCCAAGCTTCAGCAAATTTATCATAATGTCTTTCCTTCAGCAATCGTCATCCAATAAGCAGTTCCTTTAATACGTTGATCGCTCAATGTTAGCCTAATTTCGTTTGTCCAAGCTTCAGCAAATTTATCATAATGTCTTTCCTTCAGCAATCGTCATCCAATAAGCAGTTCCTTTACTACGTTGATCGCTCCAATTTCTAAATTTGTTAGCCAGCAAATTTAGTATTGTCTTTCCTTCAAATCGTTGTTCCAACGTTTCAATGTTAGCCCTAATTTATCATAATGTCTTTCCTTCAGCAATCGTCATCCAATAAGCAGTTCCTTTACCGTTGATCGCTCAATGTTAGCCTAATTTCATTAAATTTGTCGCTTCAGCAAATATTTATCATAATGTCTTTCCTTCAGCAATCGTCATCCAATAAGCAGTTCCTTTACGTTGATCGCTCAATGTTAGCCCAATTTCTAAATTTGTCCAAGCTTCAGCAAATTTATCATAATGTCTTTCCTTCAGCAATCGTCATCCAATAAGCAGTTCCTTTACTACGTTGATCGCTCAATGTTAGCCTAATTTCACAAATTTGTCCAAGCTTCAGCAAATTTATCATAATGTCTTTCCTTCAGCAATCGTCATCCAATAAGCAGTTCCTTTACTACGTTGATCGCTCAATGTTAGCCCTAATTTCATTTCAATTTGTCCAAGCTTCAGCAAATTTATCATAATGTCTTTCCTTCAGCAATCGTCATCCAATAAGCAGTTCCTTTACTACGTTGATCGCTCAATGTTAGCCTAATTTCACAAATTTGTCCAAGCTTCAGCAAATTTATCATAATGTCTTTCCTTCAGCAATCGTCATCCAATAAGCAGTTCCTTTACTACGTTGATCGCTCAATGTTAGCCTAATTTCACAAATTTGTCCAAGCTTCAGCAAATTTAGCATAATGTCTTTCCTTCAGCAATCGTCATCCAATAAGCAGTTCCTTTACTACGTTGATCGCTCAATGTTAGCCTAATTTCTAAATTTGTCCAAGCTTCAGCAAATTTATCATAATGTCTTTCCTTCAAGCAATCGTCATCCAATAAGCAGTTCCTTTACTACGTTGATCGCTCAATGTTCCAAGCTTAATTTCAGCAATCGTCATCCAATAAGCAGTTCCTTTATTTGTCCAAGCTTCAGCAAATTTATCATAATGTCTTTCCTTCAGCAATCGTCATCCAATAAGCAGTTCCTTTACTACTTTGATCGCTCAATGTTAGCCTAATTTCACAAATTTGTCCAAGCTTTTAGCAAATTTAGCATAATGTCTTTCCTTCAGCAATCGTCATCCAATAAGCAGTTCCTTTAATACGTTGATCGCTCAATGTTAGCCCTAATTTCAATAAATTTGTCCAAGCTTCAGCAAATTTATCATAATGTCTTTCCTTCAGCAATCGTCATCCAATAAGCAGTTCCTTTACTACGTTGATCGCTCAATGTTAGCCTAATTTCAAAATTTGTCCAAGCTTCAGCAAATTTATCATAATGTCTTTCCTTCAGCAATCGTCATCCAATAAGCAGTTCCTTTACTACGTTGATCGCTCAATGTTAGCCTAATTTCTAATTTCACAAATTTGTCCAAGCTTCAGCAAATTTATCATAATGTCTTTCCTTCAGCAATCGTCATCCAATAAGCAGTTCCTTTACTACGTTGATCGCTCAATGTTAGCCTAATTTCACAAATTTGTCCAAGCTTCAGCAAATTTATCATAATGTCTTTCCTTCAGCAATCGTCATCCAATAAGCAGTTCCTTTACTACGTTGATAGCTCAATGTTAGCTTATTTCAATGAATTTCAGCAAATTTAACACAATGTCTTTCATTCGATCATCATGATTCAATAACCGACGTTTCCTGTACCATTTTGACTTAACAAACCCAGACAGATCAGAACAGCAACAACACATCGAGATCTTCGCAGTTTCTCTCCACTGAGGACTTTTTTCTTTAGCAACGAATCTAAGTCTACTATTTATCATGAACAGTTTCTCTACCAGGCTTAATTTTTATTCTGCGCTCAAAAGACTATTTCGTGCAAATGTTTACACCTTTCAGCTTTTCACCTAATTTATTGCAAACTAGTAGCCATACCCAGCTGGTCGATCAGAAAAAGCATTCAATTGAAATGGAGCAAAAACATCATCATGTTTAGATGTAATAGAGTCTATCTTCTTCAATTACTTTAAAGTACTTTCATTAAAACCATTTGGAATTAATGCAGTTACTGATATAACAGAATTATTTTGTATTTATTCAATCGAACTTATCCGAGGAAATGAATGTGTAAACCAGGCAACATCAATATTCACTTCAGATCACAATTATTTTGGAGTTTTTGAAATTTAATTTTTCAGTGGGTTACCAGGGATGTAAAAGAGGATACATTTATAACGCAATTGTTAAGTTTGATGAAAATTAGTTGAAAGATCAACGAAAAATGCGAAACTAGTAAAAATCACCATTTTTCGCACTTTACGCGTGTTTTCACTATATGGCTGGACTCACATCAAGTTAAATGACTGTTAAACAATCAACTTATTGTTGGCTACAATTGAGTAAAGTTTGTATTAGATTGCTTGAAAATTGAGGGAGTTTTTAGTTTAAAATTTGTGTTGAAATCCATTTTTCGTTTTTCGCGGTTTTTCGTTAAACGCAGTGGCGTAGAAGTAAAAATGAGGTATCGTCGAGCTCGTGATGATGTAAGTAACCTACATACTGTGTTTGAACGAAATCGGAGGAAAAAAGTTGAATTTTGATCGGCTTTATCGATTATTGATATTTTTTTTAAATTATCGATTTTTTTACGCTAAGAACCTATGTCTTACATTGTACAATGTATGTGCCACGTTTGGTCAAAATCGGTTGGATGGATCTCAAGTGAAAAGGTATCACACAGACATCCTCTGGTTTATATATATAGAACAATTTCTATTTCAATTTCAGTAATACTCCTTTTTTTATTGCGTACCTAAATATATAACTAAATGACATTTTTTTTTCCGGAAAATCTCCATAAACAACAGTTCGATGGCAAATCCCCTGTACGTAGTGAAAGGAGAAGTTTGTATTTTTCACATACATTTTTATAGAGTGTAATAAACCATTATAAGTGTAATGAGTTCGAACCTCTTATAAATGTGGCCTTGTGCTAAGGATAATGTTGTGATACTATAAGTCTGCATACAAATGAGGTTAGCTTAGTTCATACGACATAAGCCAGCGAGACGAACAATTTTAATAGTCGATGAAAACTATCTTGTTCATGAAGAGATTCGAATGTAAAAAAACAAAAAAAAGTCATTTATCTATTCTAACGTAGAAAAATATTATCTCCAAATAAGAAAATATTGTGCCATTCTTTCGATGGGACTTGATTCTTCCAAAATATTTTCTATGAAGAATTTGTATCATTTATTAATACCGAATTTTGCATAACAGAAGATATTTTTTAAGATGATGTCATTCTCATAAATAAACAATGGCGTCCATTTCCGAATAGCTAATCTCGATCGTTTTAGCGTTTGCACATCATTTCTATTTTTTTTTTTTTTGGCGAGCCAAGACAAATGTCGATGCATTCGTTAAAATGCTTTCACACAAGCAAAAGTTGAGATTTGACCGTGCCCCACCCTCTCATCAGAGTCGACATCAAATCAGCTGTCAAAACTTGTCTGTCGCTATATGACAAAAATGCCAGAAAGGAAAGCACTTAGTTATTCATTGCATTTCGGTGTAAAGAATTATTTCGTAAAAATAAGAAAAAAAAACAAACGAACAAAATAGTAAAAAAATACGTTTTTTTTTACAACTTGTATGCATAATTTACACTTTCTTGAGAAAATATAGCCATTTTAAACGAAATTTATTGAACTTCTTTAACGTTCATATTATGCTATAATACATAGAAATTTTAATATGATTATGTATATCCCAATGTAAACATGCAAACGTATATATATATATATATATCTGTGTGCGTGTGTGTGTGCGCGCGCGTGCTCACAGGGTGCGATGGATAAATTATCATTTAAGTTACGCAAAAATGAAAATAACACTACATGTAATTTTAACAGATATATTTACCAAAATTACACAAAAATATCTTTAAATACTAAACAGTAAATTTATTCTATAAAATTACCATTGGCTTCAACCACGGCCTCCAGACGACTTCTGAAACTTCTGCATCTCATCTAGACGGTTTCCTTGTTTAAGTTGGTGAATGGTGCCATAATTCTTGCTTGCAGTTCATTTTTTGGTGTTACAAGGAGTTTTGTTGATCTCTCGCTCAACTGCGCCCCACGTATAATAATCAAGGGGGGTGCAGTCTGGGGAGTTAGATGGCCAGTTGGAAGTGGTGATGTGGTTGCAGAAATTGTCTGACAGCCATGACTGTGTCCTCCTGCTTGTGTAGCATGGTGCAGAATCTTGTAGAGAGATATAGGGTCTTCCAGCAGCCACCTTCTTGATCCAGGGCAGCACTTCATCTTCAATGTAGGTGTCCGTGTTGAGCCTGAGACTGAGTGTGAAGATGAATAACGTCGCCATTACTAGTGATCTCTCCAAACAGCTTCATAATCACCATTAATCTCATCCAACTCTCTCTAAATCCTCTGCACTGTCCTCAGAGTGACACCCAAACACTCTGAAATTTTCGCATTGGGGCTTCCGGCGCGAATGCCAAGCAGTATAGCTTGGCGTTTCCTAAATTCTGGGGGAGTGAATTGCGTCATGGTTCTCTTTTTCTCAGAGATGGTGCCCAATTGACCCTACTATACTGTGCAGTCGACAAAATCATAAACAAACAACGCTCGTGCGCGAAAGTAATAATATAAATGGCGACAATTTACCCATCGCCCACTATATATATACTTCATATATATATATATATATATATATATATATATATATATATATATATATATATATTATCAATCCAATATATATATATATATATATATATATTGGGTGAGGCAGAAATAACTCCCACATTTATCTCCCATGTCTTCCTTGAATTCAAGAAAGACATTCGCATTACTAACACAAAAACAGACAATGTCTCATATCAAGAATATTTGACATTGAAAAACATAAAGAAAAAAATTAATTATTTTTAATAATATGTGGAAATCTCCGCCTTTTACCAGAAGACGGTCACGAGACCAGAAACACGTGTCGTAAAATTATGGAAAATAAAGCATAATATTTTAAAAAAATATACACATTACAACCAAAAACGTTTGCGGTACCTCTCTTCTTTTTATATATATATATATATATATATATATATATATATATATATATATAGTGCTCTGCAAAATTAAGTGAACCCCTACGATAATATTCAAAATAATTTGCGCTTTTTTACAGATAATCCTCAAATCTTAAAATATGTATTAATAAGAAAAACCTTAGATACCAAGTTGAGAGCTGATATCATCGGAAAGATCATTAATGAGAATTAAAAATAGAGTAGAACCAAAGATGGAGCCCTTTGGGGGGGGGGCCCTTTTTCACCTGCGTTAGTACGAAAGGATCTAGACGAGTGGCCGTTCAGAATGACTTTCATTTTACGATTTGTTAGGAAAGACTGGATCAGTTCAAAAAAAGTGTCCGGAGACACCGTAACTTTTCAGCTTGTGGAGAAGACCTGAATGACAGAGCCCTGACGAAGGCTTTCGAGATGTCCAATGTTACTGTCCGGCCTTCATCTTTTTTTTTTTTTTTCATCTAGAGCATGATAGACTTCACAATTATAGTCTGTACATCAGCAGTTGACCGGGAGAAACAAAAGCTACATTGTTTTTCAGAGAAAAGGTCTTGCGATGAGAGCTGATGAACCAATTCAGCATTGAATAGGGCCACTAAGGGTTTCCTAAAAAGACGTACAAAGTTAATAGGCGAAGGGTCGGACGGCTCACCAGATTTCTTGAAAACTGGAACAACAGATGATGACTTCCAGTAGACAGGAAAGCAGGAGGCAGCCCGACATCTCTATCTATAAAAGGCAGGATGTGTGTGTGGGTGTGTGTGTGTGTAATTTTCGACGGATTTGCACCAGACTTTACATGCACATGCGCCAAGTTAGTAGAAATGCCAACACCAACTTCGTACTTCCTAACTCCCATCGATAATGGAAATAATCGATTTTTTTATGCTTCTACGACAGTTTTCATGTAGTTAGCGGCCATTTTCTACTGGCCAGAGTGAGAGCCTATAGCTGGCTGCCATGAATAGGCAGGAAGATTCTATTGGCCAGCGTTTGGGCCAACAGCTGACTGACACGAATGTTAACTAGCATGCTAAAAAATGGATAGCTGCATTCGTCACAAGTGGGAAAAATTTAAATCTGCATGGAACTTTACTCCAATTGGCTCATTCGCTTGCTTAAACTCAATGTTGATTCTGATTCCGCAGAACTGGGTTGGGTGTGAAAAAGTATTTGTTGTTAACATTCTTTTTTCATTCGGTTTTTCCAGTTACAAGTCCTTTTTTAAAGCTGATTGTTTTGTGTTCATTTTGTTTAGTTCTTTTTTCGTAACAGATTTAATGTTTAGTATAGAGCTTAGAAAAAATTCGCAGTGTGAGATAGGCAAGAAGTAAGGCATGTAGCAACATCAGCACGGCAAAGGGCACTCCTTTAAAGGCAAGGAAGGGCAAAAATATTTTAAGTCAAGTGATAGCGATTGCTGTATGAGTCGTACGATTTTTGAATCAAACACGGGCAACGCCGGGCCATGCTGCTAGTTTATTATAAAGTTTAGAGAGAACAGGAGCCAGTTCGGGTGCACACTTCTTAATGATTATTACAGGGATACCATCAGGTCCACATGTTTTGTGGGGATATAGGTTAGAGATGATAGCAGAAACCATGGAAGGTGTTATATGCATATCACTCAACAGAGACTCAATTCTAAGTGGGAAGTTTGGCAGGAATATTCCAGATGCGTTAAGAGTAGGGTTTGAGGAGAATTTACGGGCAAAGCATTCAACTTTAGCAGCTGAAGATTATAACACTTCAAATTGATTGAAGAGGGGTTTGATAGAGACCTTACACTTATTTAATGCCCTATTAGAGAGCCGCCAGTAATCACGAGAGCCAAAGTTGTGAGAGGCTATGCAAACAGAGATTTAGCTCCTTCCATGACTCGCTTACATTTATTACGGGCAGCCTGTTGTGACGAGAGCTGTGACGCCGATAGCCGACAATGATAGTTCCTGTCTGCTATAGCGGCCGAAGATGATGGTGTGAACCATGGAGAGGATAGAGGTTTCACCTGGTATTTTAGGAAAGCGTCCATGTCGGCTTTGACCCAAGAAGAAACCTCAGTGGCGCAATTTTTAATTGGGAGGTTAAAGATATCAGTTCAAGGGGCGTCACGAAGAAAATCACGGAGTGAGTCCCAATCAGCATGCTGGCAACGGAAAGAGGTCTTATGAATAGGGGGTTCCTGTTTAATAGATGATTGGAACGAAATATCAATAGCTGCCACAGAGTGGCCCAAATTACCAAGAGGGTCGTGTTGTGAAGAGCTAGGAGAGGAAGTAAGAAATAAGTCAAATAAAGAAGCATGTTGCTCGATTTTGTTAGGGAAACAAGTAGAAAAGTTCACAATTTGAATAAGAAATTGGGCAATGGGAAAATTATAGTCTGAATACCGACAACATCGGTACCTTTAAAATATAATAGCCTTAAAAAGGATAAAAATTATGGAAGTATTATTAATAAACAAAAAGAAGAAAAAACCAACACTCAATAACATCAACTATGAACACGGCCACAATGTGCTGACCGTGTTTGGAAAATAAATTCCTATAACTCTAGGTATATACACAAAACAATCAATACGTTCAGTTAAAAATAAAAATAAAACCATCCTTGATAATGGCTTAAAGTATAGCCGAGAGCGCTTGAACATGGAGAACATTCGGAGAATTTCTACATAATTTATGGCCAGAAAAGAAGACACTTATGAGAACAAAAGAAAAATGAAGCAAAATACTTAACCTTAGTACCTTGTCAGTCGTTTTTAATGAAACTTATATAAAACAGGAGTTACTGCCCAAATACACACACATACATATTTAGAGATGGAGAGAGAGAGAGAGAGAGAGAGAGAGAGAGAGAGAGAAACAGTGAGAGACGGTCATAGAGGGAAAGATAGAGATAGAGGAGGAGTAAAGTAAAGAGAGAAACTCAAGAGAACGTATACACATTTTTAATGTAATATTTTCATATCTATCTATCTATCTATCTATCTATCTATCTATCTATCTATCTTATATTATTATATATTACATCTATTGTTGTGGGGCTCTCCCCTTTTAAAATAAGATGGGCTCGTTCAAAGTATACTTATACTGACAGAGATAATACCTGCTGTTGAGATACGTTGAGATACGTGGAGATACGTTGAGACAGGTTGAGAGATACGGAGACAGACACAAGGTGTTCTCAGAGAGAGAGAGAGAGCGAGAGAGAGAGAGAGAGAGAGAGAGAGAGAGAGAGAGAGATTGATTACGGTTTTATTTACAGAGACTTATACATATACTTTCTACTAACCTGCATTCCTGGACTACTAATCTTCACTTCAAGTCTGTATTCTTACGTTTAATACACTTATTTTTCTATCTCAGTTAGTGGCGTTGTTTATTTATTTGTGCAGGATTCCATCCACGGAATCCACAACATCTATCTACCTCGTTCTGGTTATAATTCTATCTTATTATAATACTATATATTCTATTTATCTATCTATCTTTTATTATATATTATATTATATCTATCTATCTATCTATCTATCTATCTATTTATCTATCTATCTATCTCGGTCTGTTTTAAACTATCTATCTATCTTTCTATCTATCTATTATTGTTATTATTATTATTAATGTATGTTATATCTATCTACCTCGTTCTGTTTCTAATTCTATCTTATTACATTACTATCTATCTATCTATCTATCTATCTATCTATCTATCTATCCCATTCTATTCATAACTATCTCAGTATATTTCTCTCTATCTATCTCTCTATTTATATATCCATCCCATTCTATTCATATCTATCTCAGTCTGTTTTTCTCTCTCTCTCTCTTTCTCTTTCTCTCTCTATCTATGTTGGGATTTATCAGTCATCTTTTCTCAGTTCTTTATCCTGCTTTAGTTTTATATTTTTACTTTAATTATTGTCGTTTCCCTAGTCTCTCCTTTTTCTCTTCCTCCCCTCCCCCCGTCTCTTCTATTCTCATTCTGTTTCTCGGTCTGGTTTCTTTGCTCTCCCCCACTCCTTCCTTCTTCCTTCTTTTTCTTAACCCCCCCACTTCGCATCCACCTTTTTCATTTTGTATTTTTCTTTCTCGAACTTCTCATCTTGTCTATTCTTCTTCATTTCATATCTTGGCGTCCTTGCGTCACCGGCTTATCGCTTACCTAAAAAAAAAAAAAAAAAAAAAAAAAAAAAAACAAAAACCCTATAAAAGTCCCGTAAATCCCGTATTTACCTTTCCTTACGACTTGGCCAACAATTCTACGGTTTGATTCGCTTCTTTTTTTTTTATCTTCTTATCAACTTACCGTTCGATTTGAAACCGCACCCACTTCATTTCCTAAGTTTATTATCGCTTGATGCTTCTTTTCATTTTACTATATAACTCTCCGTCGGTTAGCGATTAGCCACGCGTCACAAATCGCCCCTTGCCCAGGCACACACTAAATTCTAAAACAAACACGTCTTTGTATGGTTGTCTCATTAAGTGGTTACGAATTTGACAGCTCTCCTTCCATTGTTAAATTGAGACAAGGTACAGATGGAGGGAATACGCTTACTGGGCTCCGTCAGCACACGTGGATGAGCTAGGAAAAAAAAAAAAAAAAAAGAGAAAGTAGGTAAATAAGAAGAATAAGAAAACGCAAAATGAAAAAAAAAGAAAAAAAAAACAAACAAAAAATAGTCACATATTCACTCTGTGACAAGCTGGTGAATGCAAGGTGTTTGTTATGACGGCGCGGGCAAATAAAACCAGGCCGAAGAAATGATTGCAGTCGTTTTGTGACAGATTAACTTGCTGCCCACCCCAAAGACCTGCAATGTCCTGTGAAAATGACCAATGAATATAATTAAACAATTAACAAGTAACAATTGCCAGTGAAAACAGGTTTTATCTGGAATGAATCTTCCAGGTTTCATAAATGCGAAACACATTCTCTCTTTCGATCTATCTATCTATCTATCTATCTATCTATCTATCTATCTATCTTTCGTTGATTATGATAGACAAGGAAAATTTGATGAAGTTTTTATTGAGTTTTTCTCGTATTTTTACATTTTTCCGTTCTTTATCCATTGTATTTTTATGTTCAAGTAAACATGTTTGAAAGAAAGTGTTGCTGCGCGCGCAAACACACACACACACACACACACACACACACACACACACACACACACACATATATATATATATATATATATATATATATATATATATCTGAGTCACTGGCGTGTTTATTCTAAAATAAGTACGTAAAAATTCCCCTTCTCTTGGGAGCTGATAGCTCAGTGGAAAATCCCCGACTAATGCCAAATCGGTTCAGTTTCGATCCTGGCTTGAGGCAATCGGATGTCTAGCCACACTGATGAGCTGTAATACAGCGAAAAGGTTTGTCTATGGATCACACACATACACGTGCATATATATGGATGAAGAAAACTTTTTTCACTTTGCCATACTTTTTCTTCCAAAATTATTCTTGATATATAAAAAAAAATAATCCTTTATCTATATATACACGACAGTTTTAGCATGTGATGAACTTGACAGAAGAGTAAAAACAATGAAAGAAAGCTCTTAGAGTTATCCCCACCCCCCAAAAAAAAATAAAAATAAAAATGGAATCATTTATCAAACTTATACTTTTAGAAACTTTCAACGAATGCCAAAAATTTGTGCTGCAGTAATCAAGGCTAAAGGAGGCTATTTTGACGAGAGCAAAATTTAGTTATAAAATGCTTTTTTTTTTGTCATAATAAAATTTCTAATAAAAAATCATATCTCACATTTTTTTTTTACCCATGTATAATATTTTTTTCTTATTTAAAGTACAAAGCAATTACTTTTTGGGCCAATTTAATAAAATTACCAAATCTATCCTCAAACTTTTTAACTGTATTGTGTGTATATATATATATATATATATATATATATATATATATATATATATATAATATATGACAAAAATATAGTTCCATGGTATGCTATATTTTATGAGAGAAAAGTACTCAATAGCAGGCACAGTGCATGCAAATATAACCAATGTAGACATAGGTATCAATACTGGATGGCAATAGTTTCATGATTAAGCATAATCATCAGTCCATGACGATAGCATTTAAGCATGAAACACTCTGTTTATATATTTATATATATGTATTTATATATATATATATATATATATATATATATATATATATATATATATATATATATATATATATATATATATATATATATATATATATATGTGTGTGTGTTTGTTTGTGTTTGTTACCGCGTGTATATATATGTGTATATGTATATACGTATGACAGTACACTTATTTCTGTAGGTAGTTCTTTTATCTTATTTTCCTTCACCTAATATATAATAAAACTATTATCAACTTATATGATTAAAATATGTTTTTATTGATATCTGTGGTTTTGGAATTTTCGTTTTTTAATATATTAAATAATATTATTTTTAACCATTTCTATCTTTGTATATTTGCTCGCTTAAGTTATATTTCAATAAGTGGCTAGCATTTGTTTAATGACACTTTCAGTCTTATATATTTATTGGTTGTGGTATCTGATTGTCTAGGTCAATGTCTGTGGATGTGTATACATGTTTTTATCGGTGTCTATGTGTATGGAAAGTGCATTCACTTTTAATTGTGTATGTATGTAGAGGTTGGTCCCCCCCCCATTTTTTTTTCATAAAGGGCCGTGGAGATGTTCCCTGTCTCGTCACTTTTTTTTTGTGTGTATATATATCTAAATATGTCTGGGTGCTTATGTATTATAATCTGATTGTGTTTGTGTTTGTGTTGTTTTACGTGTGAGTTTAAGACCCCATTCACACACTTGGGATTAAAATGTATACATATATTGTCGGATGGCCGGATGACGTAGCGTCTGTTCTAAATTAATTTCAACGAAGAAATAAATTGAATAACATATGTATTTCTTCTTTTCTCCTCAGTAATTTTATAATTTTTAAACTTAATAGTGATTAAATTTGGATTTTAAAATTGGCAGTTTTTAATTTTAATATCAAATTTTATATAATTTAATAATTATTAGTTAGAATAAATTCTTTTTTTTTAATATTACCCGTATTTTAAAGATCTGAATAGCTATTATAACATGACTTCGTTGTCAAGCTTTTTGAATTTTCCTATACTTGTATTTTGATTGGTCATTCTAGCTTTTGTAACAACGTTTTCCCTTTGTGAAGGATCGTTAATTAATTTGAAACTTTTAAAACCATTTATTTTACATTCGACATCATCACTTGACAAGACACCGAGGGTGTTGAAACAAAATGGCTATTTTGTAGTGATTTTTTATAACATACTTATGTTATAAATTTAAAAAAAATTATATCTGCTCTACTTTGTATTGAGCACTCTTTTTAAGAATAGTAATTGTTGGTTATATTCATTCCGTATACACCAATTATATACTTGGATATATATATATATATATATATATATATATATATATATATATATATATATATAAGCATTACTTTTAAGTAAAATTGAACTAAGTTTTATGAGCTGCTAGCGTATTTTGTATAGAGAAAAACGTTAAAATTACCTCCCTTCCTTGCCGTGCGACGGTGGTTTAGAGGTAAGAAATCTGACGGATGTCAATTCAACCCCGGCTTGAAGCAATCGGACATGTAACCACACTGGAGCTGTGAGACAGCGAAACAGTCTGTCTGTATTGAATATATATATATATATATATATACATATATATATATATATATATATATATATATATATATATATGGAATAAGAAAACTTTTTCACTTTGTCATACTTTTTCCTCTAAAATTATTCTTGATATATATAAAAAACATGATCCTTTACCTATCAACGTAACATGGTTGCCCTCTGTCTTTTCTATAAATATTTCCACGGCAATTATTCAGATGAGTTCTCCTCCTTCGTACCTTGAATGCATGAATTTTATATAAGTTTAATTAAAGACGACTGACGAGTTACTGCGATTAAACATTTTAGTCAATTTTGTATAAATGTTTATTTTTCTGGACATAAATTGTCAATAAAGCGTTATCTACATGATTTAAAAAAAATATGTGCAGATAGTTGTGTTTGGGTGTTTAAATGTTTTTTTATAGCATTCAGATCGCTTAAGTAGTTTATCAATCTTCATGTAAAGATTCGGTTTGTTTTGTTTTACGGCATATCAACTTCAATGGGTTATTTAATGCCGAAAAGATTTTTATTGCTGGTAATATATTTAAAAAAAATGTATTGCTGGCAATATATTTTTTTTTCAAAAATGTATTGCTGGTAATAAATTTTTTTTCAAAATGTATTGCTGGTAATAAATTTTTCCCTAAAAAATTCATTGCTGGTAATCATTTTTTCCTTCAAAAATTCATTGCTGGTAATAATTTTTTTACAAAATGTATTGCTGGTATTAAAACCTATTTTTACACTTTCGTAGTGTTTTGACCCCCGTTTGGGGTTAACTATTTACCCATAGCTGGGACCCTAACAGGTGCTACCATCCCGGGTCAGGATGAACCTGACATCACCAGCAATTAAGAGATGGTTCCTCTCTCCTCAAAACCTTCTTTTCAGAAGCCTTGCTGTTGGACATAGTTTATCGTCATACCCAGAACGGTGTAATGATTCGGTTTGTTACAAAAGTTGCACACTTGTATGTGGCAACAAAATTGATGAACTACAGTGGTGGTCTGAAATTTCGATTTCATAATTGCTATTGGTAATTATGTGTTAGCTTTATATTTTATATCATATATTGTAAGATTTACAGGTTTTCCTCGGGCCAAAGGGAGAAATGGCGATTTTCTAAGCGTATCTTAGATGTGGCACAAGGCCGAAAGCATGGGGCATCCAGTGAAGAGCGAACTTCTGATTCAGTCGTAGTTGATATAGCGAGTCAAGCTTGCTAGCCTTTACACCGCGTCAAGGTGTCCATTAGTGATTTTCCAAGCGTTGTTTAGATTGGCACCAGGCTAAAAGTAGGGGGTACCCAGTGAGGATCAAAGTTACTACTCAGTCGTAATTGTTCTAGCGAGACAAACTTGCTAACAATTACACCGACTCGAGGTACCCCAAATGATTTACTAACCGTAGCTTAGATGTAGCATACAGTCGATAGGGTGAGGCACTCAGTGAGGTTCGAACTCACTACTCACTCGTAGTTGTTCTAGTGATGGCACACGGCCTAAAGTATGAGACACTCAGTGAAGCTCAGTTATGCGCCATACGTGATACACGCTTAAGCGATCATGTATTTTTGATACATGACTGACGAGACAGATCTTTTTCCCCAGTAGGTTGCGATTTCTTTCAGCAGTAGACCAGTTGCCATCCAACGCTATAGAACTCGGCCTGTCTTGCTATTTACCCATAGCTGGGGCGTGGGGAGAAGAAGAAGATTCATACCTTTCCTAAGGGTATTAGCACGTAAGTAAATGTAATGGATTCGACTGGAATTCGAACCCGGCTCTTCGATTCCTCAATCCATTACTCCACCGTGCCTCCTCCTACTCCACCGTGCCTCCTCCTCCGAACTCACTAATTATTCTAGCGAGACAAGCTTGCTAACAAGCACACCGATTCGAGGTACCCAAGCGTAGTTTAGATGTGGCACACTGTCGAAAGTGTGAGGCACACAGTGGCGCTCGAAAACCATTACACCGCCTCGAGTTGCCCAGACCAATGGGAGAAATGTATTGTTTAATGACGTGTCGTATGTCGAATTAATCTTGTTTGAAATTATTGTGCATCTGGTTACAGATATTAATGTTTGGTTGCAATATACTTTTCATGTTGTACGATTTAATTTCTGTAGGAATAATATTATTTGCTTATCGATAATGTAGCTAGAAAAATATTTGTTTTTTTTTATATTCTTCAGTCAGCTAAAAATGATTTTCCGGGGAGTGGAGGTTCGATGTACTCTATTTAGGAAGGTTTTATCACTTCTATTTTATATATTCTTCTTTTTTTATGTGCTGTGTCCCTCAAGACGGAGGCGATCATGGCTCTCCACAATTTCCTGTCTTTTTGTTACTTCTCTTAAAACCTGTTCCGACATCCATTTACTCATACTCATTAAATATGTTAAGCATTAATTTCCTCTGTTCTTCTTATCTTCAATTTGTCCTTTGGGTATCATATTTTCCAAGCCCTCTTTCTTCATTATGTATTTTTGTTATTTCTCCTAAACCTTGTTCCGCCTTTAAATTTACTCAAGCCCATTAAATGTATTATGCATTGTTTCTCTTATCTTCAATCTGTCCTGTGACGGTCAGATTTTCTAAGCCCACTTTCCTCATTAAATGCCCTAGAAATTTCAACTGTCTCTTCCTGATGTTAAGTATAAGTTTCTTTTTTGTTTCCATTTTCTCTAAAGCCTCGTCGTTGCTCACATGTTCGGTCCATGATATCCTCAGCATCCTTCTGTAGAATTTTTGCTTAGTCTGGGACAAAGCCAAAAGATGGGGGATTGTTGTATGAAGTTTGGGCGGTGCCAATAATCTAAGTAAGAATATTATTTCATGACATTTATCCATATAATATCCTACGAAATTTTAAAGAAATCAAGCTGTATTACAAAAATATAACTTCCACAAATCTGTAATAAACACACATAACACTGCCTTTATTAATTATGTTCATACAAACACACATATGCACGACAGATGAGTATTAATTACCATGTATTCAACTGTGAAAACAGAATAACATACATCATATTTTTATTACTTCGAAGCTCACAAGAAGATTAAATTTCGGCATCAAATGCCATGAGGAGTTGATATGCCGTTAAACAAATCAATCAATCCCACGTCGAGCATAAATCAAGGGCCCCAAATAATAGAGTAATGCAACTTATATTTATTGAAAGGTAAAAGCATAACATTTTAGGTTCTTGTTATAGCATACCTACAGAAGATAATGGGTATGTCCCTATTGACATAAATACTGTATGTTGATCTGCAGTTGGAGATTTGTCTCCAGCTGGGCTGGCCAAACTCTCTGCCTCCGGGCAAGTGGATCCCCGGACGAAGCAGGGTCTCGTCTCGGGAAACAGCTACTCGACCACGTTTTATACGAGGTCTACGGGGAATTTTTGACCGAGCCTACGGGCTTGAATACCCCACATTAAATCCGGCCTTGTGCCACATCCGACCGCGTGGGGCGGTTGGTAGATATCGTGCAATTGGAGATTCATCTCAGGCTGTGCTGGTCAAACTCTCTGCCTCCAAGCGGAGAGGATCCCCAGATGAGACTACGTTGAAGGGCAGAGTCTCGTCGGGAGATAGCTACTCTATCCCGCATTAAATACGGCCTTGTGCCACCTCTGATCGTGTGGGACGGTTGGTAGATATCCTGCAGTTGGAGATTCATTGTGGAATTCCCTTGACTCACTTCCAAAATGTCAAGAAGAGCCCTAGAGTACATGCTCCATATGTCCTCCGTTCAGTTGAACGTACCGTTGAATGTAAAGTTGTTGATAACGCGTGCACATTCCTCCTGGATGAATCTTCTCAGTGATGGCTGCCTTCAATGCAGCAATGGTGTGAGGGTTGCCCTGGTAGATTTGAGGAAGATATCTGGGGGGTTTGGCTGAGGCGAATGAGATGCCAATTCCCCTTCAGCTTTGCGGTTGATGAGACGCTCCCCAAACTTTTCCCGGGGCCATGCCATGGTAACACTAGCAGTGTGAGGAGGAACACCATCCTACTGGAGTCATTGTTCCCCCTCATGAAGGTCCTCACATTCCTCATCTGAGAGGCCGCTGTTTTACTTCAACAATTGTGAAACACCCTGTATATCACATTTTTATTACTTCAGAGCTGCGAAGAAAATAAAATTTCGACATTAAATGACCCATGAAGGAATTGATATACCATTAAACAAACAAATCAAATCAATTCCGATTCTAGTGGGACAATAACTTGGCGATGACATCCACAGCCCTATATACTGTGATCACTAATTCGACAATTACATGCACACACTTAAAATAAAAAAGAACATGCTGCGCCAATCATTCGAGTGCGGAGAGTTTGTCTAGTTTCAAAATTATCATTCGAAAGCTTAAGACTTTGCCTGGGCGTGAACCCCTCTCTCTACCGCTAATAGAAAAAAAGGTAACCTATGAAACAGTGGCAACTTCTTGATTACTGAATATTTAGGCAGTTGTCGAGTTTTAAGACTAATCAGTTTATTCAGTATCTCTGAGGAATCTTTTCATTAATTTATAGGTTAAATATGCTTGGAAGAGAGTGATAACATTTTGATTTTATCCAATCTCCAAAGCCCAATAGAGGCATTAGTTGATCCGTGATACGCTAACACCTTAAAAGAACGGAAGTAAGGACTAGAACAACGCTGAAAAATGAACTTCAAAAATAAAATGACTAAAAAAATTCATATGTAAAATATGAGCATGCATAAGTCATACTAAACATAGATCCCATAAACACACACACATACACACACATATATTTATATATAAGATTGTATCATACTGATGTGATGGAATAACCTGCCACCCCCATGAGTGGCGGAACTATAGGTGTTAACCACCTATAAGTATCCGTGAGGACAGCGGATCCGAGAGTCGCGCCAGAATCTGTTTTTGGCCGCTGTCGAACTCTTTGACTTTGGGTAGAGAGGAACCCGGACGAAGCTATGCCGAAGGGCGGAGTCTCGTCCGGGGAGGTAGACAGACCCGAACCCGTTTATACGGGGTCTACGGGGATTTTTTGGCCGAGCCTACGGACTCGGATTGCCCCACGTTAAACTCGGCCTTGTGCCACATCCTTCCTCGTGAGGAGGCAGGTAAATACCGTCGAGCTGGGATCTGTCGAGAACTAGCAGCCTTCCGATAGCAGCATGCACACAACTGTACTGACTTGCGACGACCGTGCGTATAACTATTACTTCCTTGCTTGTTGTAATGGTTTCTACAATAAACCTGTTACTATTTATCCAACGTGTTTATCCATTCCATATTCCTATTAGCGCGGAATATAACACATAAATCTAGATTCATATAAGTTAGCAAGCAGTATGGGAACAGGACAAATAAAATGTCTACTGACATCCTCAAGGAGCACCCCGGGACAGCTTTGTGGTACCTTTTCGATTCCTTTTTAGAAAGCATTGAACTTACATTCGTAGAAAATGAATCACTGACTACAGTCTCCAACGAGCTGTACGAGACTCTAAAGGGCCCCTTGAGGCATAAGTAACTTCTTATCAAAGGCAGATAATTAACTTCCGTATGCTTACAATGGTAATCAAAATTATATTTTTAGTATTATCAATAATAAATATTTATTACGCGGAGTTTTTTTTTTTTTTTTTTAATTTCGTTTGAAGAGTTTGATATGAAAATGTATTTGTTATCCGCCATTCCCCAGTAATGGTTTATTCAATACTCACGTATCGCCTGGTTTATATTTAGTTTAACACAATACAAAAGTATTGTTAAAAAATAATGTTGCTACTCTTCAGATTATTTGACCATTCTGCGCAACCCCTGCGGCCTGCGAATGTCTAAGCCAGTAAGGAAATCATCCTCGTCTGTCAAAGAACGCTATTATCGTCTAATCTGTGTAATAAACTGTCTGGTTTCACTGTCAATAGAAATCTGATGTGTGCCATGCAGGACAAAACTAATGCAATTAAAGACGATACTGATACCGCAACTATAATTTTATGAAGCCCTAAAATAGGCGCACGCTCTTTTTCTTTTTTCCTATGTGGACCCAATTACAGCTGAAACATCCACACTGGAATTTTATATTTCCGACCCTGTTCCTCGATAAAGCGCATCGCCAATTGTTTCCACGTTTCATGAACTTCCTTTTGTTTAATTTAGCCCCGATTTTATGGGCGGTTCAACTTTGTTTTAGAGCGTCTGGTTTTCCTGTCCCTCAGTTTCTCTCTTTCTCTCACATTTTTTTTTCCTGTTCAGCCATGTTGGATTAATACTGTGTCTTCTTTATGAAGTGGTTCTTGATTTTAAACCTTTTTTCTTTTTTTTGTTACTTTTCCCTTTTTTGTTGACGTGTTCGGCCTTTTTCATTTTTCTCTCTTTCTCCTTCATCAATCAAAAATTCTTTTTTGAAAATTCTTCTTCTTCTTCTTCTTCTTCACTTATACTTTACTTTCGACCTCTTTTCGATTCATTCTTCTTTTCTTCTTCCTCTTTTTTTTCCCTTCTTTTTCTTCATACTACTCTTTTTCTCTTTCGGTCCATGTCGATCCCCATATACCCTACTCCTCACCACTACTTTTTCTTCTTTAACCTCTTCTTTATTTTCGCTCTCTTTTCGATTCATATCATCATCATCATCATCATCATCATCATCATCCTTCTTCTTCTTCTTCTTCTTCTTCTATAGTCTAGGCAACGGCAATACTATAGAAAAAAAAAAAAAAAAAAAAGAAGGCCCCCAAATATAAAACTGGAAAAAACCTGATGAGCAGGGTGTGATCTGCCTTTGAGTGGCAAATTGATAAGAATGGGGAGCATCTTACTAATTACAAGAAAAGAGTCGATGTCTACCGCTGAACACAGAAATAAATACTTAATGGTAAAACGATTTATCCAGGAAAGATGGATATATTCACCTCCATTAGATATATGCAAAACTAGGTATACAGTAATAAAAAAAGAAAGTGTAACACAAGACGTATGGTATTGATTATGCAAACATATCAATAATAAATATATTAAAATAATAATAACATCAATCATAACATCCATAATAACGTATCAATAATATACATATCAATGATAACATATTAATAATAAATATATCAATAATAAACATATTAATAAGAACCTATCAATAATAAACATATCAATAAAAACATATCAATAAAAAACATATTAATAATAAACATATCAATAATAACATATCAATAATACACATATCAGTAAGAAACATCAATAATAACGTATCTATAATAAGACTATTAATGATAGACATCTAAATAATAACATGTCAATAATAAACATAATAAACACATGAATAATAAACATATTAATAATAAACATATCAATAATAAACATATTAATAATAACAAATCAATAATAAACATATTAATAATAAACATATCAATAATAAACATATCAATAATAAACATATCAATAATAAACATATGAATCCCTCAAGTGTTCAAAGTGTTTATCTTCATCATTCACACATTCCTCTTTATCTGCAAAACTTATTATTATTATTATTATTATTTATTAAAAATAAAAATCCAATTATAATTGTGCTTGTCCCTCCACTTCGTTAGTTCGCACGACCGTTACGTCCTGTCAGTACTTTATAAATAATGTAAAATTCCGTTTTGATCGTGTGGAAAGAGGGGAAAAAGCACTACTTGGTTTCAGTGAGGAAATGAAAGAAAGATAGGAAGATAGAAGTGTTTAACAGCAATTTTAATGAAATGGAAAAAGTTGTCAATTTCAAATCTTTTCATTTGTACCCACTTCTTAAAATAACGACTAGCATTCATATTTATGATTGTTATTGCAATATTTTGTTACAGTTGTTAAACTCAAATATTTAACGACGCGACAGGAGAATTTGAACGGATTTTTTTAATTTCGTCGAACTCGCCATGAGCTTATTCTATAATTAACTGAAAAATTAAAAACAGGAAAACCGGGAAATTTTCAGCTATTTACAATGAATATATAATAATAAAATATTATGAAAATAGAAATAGTAAATATGATTTTAAGGAATTAAATGCTCTTGACAAATGCCGGTGCGTTGCGCAAACACACCAGTCATAGCTCGAGCAGCGTCGAGAAAACATGGCGGTGTCGAAGCAGCTCGTTTGGGATTGTCCGCTTTATGACTTTAAAGTGGGCTTGTCCGCAGCCGCATCAAGTTGCCGAAGACGTCAAAGCCTTTGGGGATAATGCTGTGAGTGAACGTACAGACAGGCAATGATTCCAGAAGTTTAGGTAGGGAGATCTTTTCCTTTGTGGTGAACACCAGAGTGGCCGGCCACAGGTCCTGAATGAGGCCCTGAAGGCGGCTATAGAACAGGACAATAGCTAAATCTGTGATGAGCTTGTCCAACGCTTTCAGGTTTCTGGTTAAGACTTCACTTGAATTGCATAGGGAAGGCGTGCAAGTTGGGCAGGTGGGTACCCCACACACTGTCAGAAGCCAACAAGCAATAACGAGTGACAGCCTGTTACTTTTACTTTCTCGGCACCGCAGTGTAACTATATTTGATCGAGTGCTAACCAGTGATGAAAAGTAAGGCCTGTATGACCCTCCCAAACGTCCCAGACATTGGTTTTCACCACGAGACCCTGTGCCTCACACCACAAGACCACCTCTACACCTACGCAAGATCATGCTATATATATATATATATATATATATATATATATATATATATATATATATATTCATTCATTTTTCATTAAATAATATAGACAAGTGTTGTCTATTTATTTTATGTAAATTTTTTTCATAACGTCTGATAAGTTTAATAACATTATCGTTGAACGAAGAAAGAAATTCACAATATTGATCCATATTTTTTTAATACAATCTAAGCTTTCGGCTTACATAAGCCATTATCAAAGATGTCAATTACAACATATTAAGCAATACACGGACAAGACAGTGATGTGACAGTGAGTCTGTCATTGTTTACATAGATGATTTCTAAGCAACGATAAACACGTGCATATAAGACGCTACAAGCGAAAATCAAACCGCATCTCATGACGTCACATATGACCACACGAGAGTGAATTGGAGAAGTATGAAGTATGGTAAGCCGTTGGTATAAACCAATGCCTTCTGTTACCAATTATCGACATTTAAGAATATTTGTAGAGATGCCATAATTGATTTTGTTGAGGTTGGATTTCAACTGTTTGTCTATTGTTTTTATGTCGAAGTATAATTGTGTTTTCGACTAGTATTTTACGGACAGTGTGTGCGGACAGGCATGTTGTTTTAAATGCCTAAATTTATATATATATATATATATATATATATATATATATATATATATATATATATATATATATATAATGAACAATAATAATATCAAAAAATTCAAATCTTCAGACATACTGGGTTGTATGTTAATATTCTTTCGTTTTTGTTATTTCAGTTAGATTCCTCGACTAGTTTCGTCTAACATGGCCATCGTCAGGAGAAAAAAAATTCTGCTTACTGGTAGCAGTGAACTACATAAATAAATGTCTTGATGGAGAAAATAAACTTTTGTCTGCAGTTTTCATTGTTGTTTTAAAATTTTTTAAAGATTAATTTTGGTTTTGAATATATATATATATTGTACAGTGCATTGGCTTTTATTTGGACAAAAATAAGCACTCAATTCTCAAAAGAAATATACAACAGCGTCATATTTTGTTTTCGTCAATAAAACCACCAACTGTCTTAATCACCACTTTACAAATTCTTGGCACTCTTTCCAAATGTTTTTGAAAAAAATGTAGATGGCAGACCTTCCCAAGCATACTTCAAGTACTGAAAAAAGCTCACTCTCACTGTTTGATTATTCTCTTCCAACTCTCCTATCCAATTCATCTCATAATAATTCAATGGCAGAGAGGTCAGGAGATTGATGCAGCCAAGTCGTAATTTCCAAAATTTTGTTACTTCTTATTCACTTGAGGTAATTTTGAAATAATTTAGATTTTTTTTTTTTATAATTTATAATTTTTCCCAGCTATACGTAAACCAGATGGTATAACATGTTTTTTCAAAATCAAATGATAAAGTGATTTTTTTATGCTTTTCCTGACCTGAATCAAATCTCCATTCATTTTCGTAATGTCAAAAAGTCTTCTGTGGGGGTTAATGGTAAAAACAAAAGATAATGTTTCTCATACAAAATATTCGTAATTTAGCAAAATGTATTTTAGACAGACGAATCGAAATTTGAACGTTTTTGGTCGTAATAAGAGCCTGGAAAAAGTAAAAGCATATATATATATATATATATATATATATATATATATATATATATATAAAAATCAAACCCTACCCACATTTCTCACCCACACAAGACATACTTGCAGAGGTGTTGAGGTTTTACACTTATACACGCACTCATACTACTATATACACATACACACACTTCCAAAGAACGAAAAATAATATACAATTAACGAACACAACTCCCATTCCCAGCATCCAATAAAACTCTCAAAATGACCAAGGAATGAATTCTTAAAGTCAGAAATCTCACCATCCTCTATCTTAAAAACAACTTAAAAGACGCCATTTGACCAACAGAAGGACAAACCAAAATTAACAATAAAACAAAAAAAAAAAAATTAAAATTAAATATAATGTTCACTTTCTTCGGAAACAGTCATTCACTCGTGTAGTTCACTACTACTAAAAAGCAGGGATTTTTTCTCCTGATGATGGCCATGCTGGCCGAAACTAGTCGAGGTACCCAACTGAAATAATAAAAAAAACATATTAATATACAACTCACTGTGTCGGAAAATTTTAATTTTTAATATTTTTTTGTTCAAAACACACACACACACACACACATATATATATATATATATATATATATATATAAAAGGCTCAAACATGAATATTTCAAAGTTATAATTTATTTCATTGAATTTGTAATAACGACCTAATTCATTAGACCTAAAAAGTTTTTTTGAATTTGTGGTCTGATGAATTGTGTCGTTATTACAAATCCAATGAAATAAATCATACCCATGAAATATTAGTGTTTGAGCCTTTTATATATATATATATCTACCTGCATTATAGCCTCTTGGAAATATATAGCGATTTTCTAAGCATAGCTTAGATGTGGCACAAGGCCGAAAGTATGGGGCACCCAGTGAGGATCGAACTCACTACTCATTCGTAATTGTGCTAGCAAGACAAGATTGCTAACCATTACACCGCCTCGGAGTGCCCCTCTTTGGTATATATATATATGTATATATATATATGATATATTATCAATATCAATATCAATATCAATATCTAATATATATATATATATATTCTGGAGCTATGTTTTCCGATTTCTTTTTGAAATTGTAGGTCTGATGAATTGGATCGTGATTATGATTCCAATGTAATAAATTATAACCATGGAATATTAGTGTTTGAGTCTTTTATTCTTGCCCTGTCCTGAACATTGAGTTCTACCTGGATTCTATCCTCTTAGAAATTTATATATATATATATATATATATATATATATATATATATATATATATATATATTGAGAACTAATATTATCAGTATCTATCTATCTATCTATCTATCTATCTATCTATCTATCTATCTATGTGTATATATTGGACACTAATATTATCAATATCTATCTCTCCCCCTCTCCATATATATATATATATATATATATATATATATATATATATATATATATATTAGCGCAATTGATAATAGAATAAAGATTAGTAAAACTTCGGGAAAAATACAATAATAGTGGCAGGTTTTTTGTATTTTAATAGATGTGGCGCTGAATATCAATATTATTTTCGTTTTAATATAAAAAAATTCTCCTTAAGCAGTCTGAACGATGGAATCAAACTGAATTTTCCTGATAAGTATGGTTTAGTGAATGTGACAGTGACAGAAAATATTAAATGGAAAGACATTGTCAGTTTTAATGCGAATGCTGCTCCAGGCATAGTTAAAATGCAGGCTACCATAGCCCCAGGTTCCGATACGTACGCTCGGAAAACAAGAATATAAAACACGAAATATTAAATGATTGAAACGTGGACAACTAAAAAAGACAAACAAGATAAAACAAAACAAAACAAAAAAAGAAAAAAGAAAAAATGGTTTTAATGAAGATTGTAAGATGGCGGTTGAAGAACTGACCCACAAGAGTGGAAAGGAGATGCATTCCATTTCAGACAAGCGTGAAATGTGCTGGGAAAAGTTTTGTAAAAGGGATGAACGAAATGAAATCTGAAAGATCGACTCAAAAGTGTCATGTTAAACTCAGACGTTAATTATCTTTCAAATGCTTAAAAAGGAGACCCACTTTTATCGTTACGCGATGTCTTGTTCCCGGAGATCCATCTCTTTCTCAGCACCTCTTCATTGCCAGTGGGCAAAGGTTTGTAGATAGGGGTAATTTTGGTGTCCACGCACGCAAAAGCCTGCGTAGTTCCCACAGGCTGAAAAAAAAGCGTTGTGCCTACATAACATCCCCGTTGGAAGATCGTTAAATATCCTCTGCTAAATACTTGATCGATTCGTGTATAAGTCGATTTAGGGATTGATTCGTTAGCATCGACTGTTTGATTTCTCTCTTCATCCCCCTCTCTTCTACTCTGATTCTCTCTCACTCTCTTTTTACCTATCTCTACTATTCTGTTTTTACTCTACATTTTTTTTCTCTCTCTCTCTTCTACTTCCTTTCTCTCTTGTTATTTTTCTCACTCTTGTTTTCTCTCGTTATTTTCTCTCTCTTTTACTTAGTTTTTGTTTCTCTCTCTCTTTTTCGCTCTCTCTTCTACTCTTTTTTTGTCTGTTTTTCTCTCTGTCTTCTATTCTGTTTTTATTCTCTCTTTTTCACTCTCTCTCTTATACATTGTTTTTTCTCTCTTTTCTTCTTCTCTCACGCTCTTCGACTCTCTGGCAGCTTTGATATTAAAATGAATTTAAGATCTACTTTGCAGGTAGTTTTATAAAATACTTGAGTTTGTTCAAACCTGCAAAACCAGTCAACCTTAAAATTATGTACCTCGTAGTTTAGGCTGAAATTAAATATGTTACAGCAATTTTATATACATATATATATTTATTAATAAATATACAAATTATCCCTTATCGCTAGTACGACTCGCAATCTTCAGGTATTAATTATGAACTGACCGTTACGTAATTTTGAATTAAAGTATATCTGGCTATCACAATGTTGACAATATTTATAAATTATGCTGGGATTATAGTTTTTTAATTTGAAAATTTGGAAATTATATTAAGCAATTAAAATACGCGGGATTCATATATGTAAGTAACAAAAAAAATTAAAAAATTATATATTTGAGTGGGGAATATTCAATTTTTTAAAAATTATATAATTAAAGGGAGATTACTTGTTCTTATTAAAACAGGAATATATATTTAATACTAATATATTCAAAATAGACCGTAATTAGCATTATAAATAACAATTAAAAAATTAATTAAAAATTAGCATAAAAAAGTTAAAAATTAAAATAAAAATGATAAATTTTAAATTAAAATTAAAATAAAGAAAATAATTTGGATCAATGTATTTAAGCAGATATTTATTTTTATGCCTACCTCTACTCATCCATCCCATTCTCTTGTTTAATAAATGGTTATTTAAATGTTTTAATCTTCTCAACAAGACATAAATTTCATTTATTTCCTTTACATCCTCGTCTGTGATGTCTGCTAGAGTCTTTTCCCCCTTACCAGTAGAGTGGGCATTTATAGATCTACCTCTATAATGCAGATCGATTTAATAAAAACAATTATTATTATTATTATTATTATTTTCTTTTTTCTTCGTACCTTACTTGTTTAGCACGTAAGTTAAGCCTTGCGGACTATTACGTTTTGATCGCGAGGAAGGAAAGGAAAAGTAATATCTGAGACGTTGTTCGATGTCAGTGAAAAAAAAAAAGAAAGAAAGAAAGAAATCAAGAAAGAAATAATGAGACAAGATAACACTCTCGTGTGTTTAACGTCTGCTTCATTGAAATGAAAAACTTATCAATTTTAAATTTTTTCATTTTTACCCTCTTACTTCTTTAAATAGTAACCTGCATTCATACTTATGATTGTAATTGCTATATTTTAATAGGAGTAGATAGATTCGCCTATCACCTGGTTCACACACTTCACTGTTTTTTTTTTAATTAGGTCTCTGGTTGAGACCAGGAAGAAAATGGCTATATAACAGAAACCCAAAGAAGAAATAATAATAATAATAATAATAATAATAATATTAGGAATAATAATAATACATATAATAATAATAATAATCATAATAATAATAATAATAATAATAATAATAATAATAATGATATACACATAATATAATAATACAATATTAATATACTACTACTAATAATGATAATAACAATAAGAAGAAGGGGAAGAAGGAGGAGGAGGAGGAGGAGGAAAGAAAAACAAAAGAAAAACAAAAGAAAAACAAAAGAAAAACAAAACAAACAAATAAATCATGGAATTATTCTGTGGCGATACACGACTTCGGCTCAAAACGAGAAACAAAAAAGTTACAATTTACACCAAAAATGAGGAAACATCTGACATTGTCATCACAAAGAACGCTATTTCCAGCCTGACAATGCAATGACCGCAGCGACATATAAATGGCGTGTAGAACTTCTCATGTCCAGTGAAGAACATCATTCGATATCATACTCAAGAATCAAATTCGCAACGAACCAATTTGTGTGTTTAATGCAATGTCCATTCAGAACGTAGATGTTACAGATTTTTGCTTATTTTCGGTGAACTGATCTTCATTCTTGGGAAAGAGAGTGGTTTCCCGTTGCATTCTACACACTTCAACAACTTTAGAATTTTCCCTCTTCTTTCATGACATAAGCAATCATAGCTCTCCACAAGATTTTTCATTATCTGCGATCTGCCATGCATTTTGTTCAAAGATAGAGTTCCTTCTTCTGTTTTCTTCTTCACGGTTTGGTAATCAGTTTTCCTTCTCTTAGACAAGTTGCCAGTCAAAGCTATAGAACTATTGTATCCTGTGACTTAACATGCAGTAATGCGTGAAGATAAGTATCCAGGCTTTGAATGGTATATTTTCTGCAATATGAATTAAGATTCTTCTCCGATGCCTAACAAGTTGGTGGGGGTGTCAACTTACAATTTTAATTTTTTAACCATTTATATCAATTAATATCCCTTGCAACTTATTTTTTTTATAGTTCATACCGACCTCCTTGACTTACGTGTAGTCCTCGGTATGACGATAAACTACACTCGGCAGCAAGGACATTCATCTGGAGATTGAAGGTTTTGAGAAGCGTGGAATCAACACTTAGTTGCTGTTTTGCCCAGGTTCACCCTGGCCCGGAGTGAGAGCACCTGTTATTTGGGGGGGGGTCTCAGCTATGGGCAAATAATGAACCCCTAAAAGACAAAATTTAATATGAAAGTAAATACATAAAAATATATTTTATACTAAAAATTCCATCAATACAATTTTATATATAAAAAAAAATTAACCACAATATATTTTATAGCAAAATGACCAACAATACATTTTATCTGTAGTTGAAGGCATACAATTACGTTCAAAATATATTTAGTTGATTTGTTAGATTTCGGCATTATATAACCCATAGAGGTGTTGATATGCCACTAAACAAAATCAAACAAACAACCAATGTGAAAGAACTCTTTAATGACATATAATATCCATATAATATCCTACAATTTCTTAATGAAATCAAACTGTATTCCAAAATATAACTTCAACAAAACTATAATATAAAATACACATATCACCGCCTCTAATAATTATGTCCTCACAAACATGTTTATGCACGGAAGCTGAGTATCATCTACCATGTATTCAATTGTGAAAGCAGAATAACATATATTTTTATTACTTCAAAGCACCCAAGAAAATTAAATATCTGCATTAAATGACCCATACAGATGTTGATATGCCGTTAAACAAATCAAATCGACTTAAGTGTTACCAGAATTACCAACTTCTATATACCTTCGCCCCCAAATGATTAATACCTGATTTATTAGACTCCCAACTAATCAGTTGCGTGTTAAGGTTTTGCATTAGCTTTACCTGTTCTTTACGGGATAAAGCCTAAATTTGGCTTTATTGAAGCCTTGCTTTTGATAGAATTAAAAGTCGTTTATGCGTTCATGTGATGTTGGGAAGACTTATTTCCACACTACAACCACTTTCTTCACAGACGCAAAGTTGCTACGCTTATCGCCTTTCCATAGCAAACGTTCAAATGAGTTCAATTCTTTAGCTCCACCAGTTAAGAACTTTACCGCTAAAACTCGCCATGCTATATCCACGGATTTCAACCATCATCATTTCCCCTGTGTCGCAAACGTAAAAAGAATTTTCCACTCAGGTAGCTTTTTTCCCGCAAACTGCCACTTTGTGGTACATATTCTTGCGAGGGTGCTTCCATGTCAAAATCATTCGTTATCTATCCTCCCTATCCACTTAATATCCAATTTCTACCACTTCCTCTTTCATTCATTTTATACACTTCATACATATCGTTCGTCTCGCACTCCTTTCTGGTCCTTGGAACAGGAGTAGAAATTTATCCCTTATTCCCTTTTGAGGATTGGATTTCCGGTTCTTTCCAAGATCTGCTTTAACTCTATACTTCTAACGTCTCTAGAAGAACACCGAAATTTTTCACTATTTATTTTTTCTCCTCCTCCAATACGAGTACATAGGTTCAACTATCGCCAAGTACACACTCCTCCCCAGTCTTTTGAACAGGTTTAGAGATTTATCCCATGTTTCATGTTTAGGATTGGGTTCCCAATACCTTCTAAAGTCTACTTCAACTCTATACTTCTAACGTCTCCTCCTCGGTAATTTGAACAGGAATAGAGGTTTATCCCTTGTTCCCTGTTTAGGATTGGGTTTCTGGTTCCTTCTAACGTCTACTTCAAATCTATACGTCTAACGTCTCCTCCCCGCTCTTTTGAACAGGAGTAGAGGTTTGTCCCCTGTTCGCTGTTTAGGATTGGGTTAACCGTTCGTTCTAAAGCCTACTTCCATTCTATACTTCTAACTTCTACTACCCACTCTTTTGTACCCTGTTTAGGATTGGGTTTCCGGTTCTTTCTAAAGCCTATTTCAACTCTATACTTATAACGTCTCCTTCCCGCTCTTTTGAACAGGAATAGACGTTTATCCTTTGTATGCTGTTTAGGATTGGGTTTCTGGTTCCTTCTAAATTCTACTTGAACTCTATACTTCTAACGTCTCCTTCCCGGTCTTTTGAGCAGGAGTAGATATTTGTCCCTCGTTTCCTGTTTAGGCCAATCCTAAATTCCCGCTTTCTTCTGAAGTCTACTTCCACGCTATAACGTTTTCGACTGAACTTTGAAATGTTATTCAGCAATTAAATCTTGACCTCTTCAAGTCAAGTATTAGATGTTATCTTTCCTTCACTTCTTTTCCTTTCTTACTCTAACACAACTCCAAATAGTAATCATCTACCTTGGGTGGCTCTCAGGTCTTGTACTGGTTGAACATTACCATTTTAACAAAAAATCTCAACTTTGAATAACTCTTGAACTTTTTTATTAAGTGAATCACAAATAGTCATTACGAAGCAAACTGCAAGGGGCCACATGAACGCAAAGAGGTTAAGAATATTGTATTGCGCCAGTCTTCTAACTAAAGCGGATATTGTTGCCTAGAAAATCAGCATTCGAAATCTTCCTTATTATGTGTTCGAACACCCACGACTGGTAGATATGGAAATCAGCTTTGAGGTTCCAGTACATAGCTTACTACTTTGGAAAGGAAGTTTATATTGATTTGTTTCTTTACGGCTTATCAACCGCTTTGCAGGTTATATAAAGGAATAAAATATTTTTAGATTGTAAGAATTTGTTGGCGATAATAATGATTTACTGATACAAATTCTACTAATTAACCCATAGCCGGGGGAGAAGAAGTGGATTCATAACTTTCCCAAGTGTATTTGGGCGTAAGCGAATATAACGAACCTGACTGAAATTGAAACTCTTCTCTCCGATTTCCAATTTCGAAACTTTATCCATTACATCACCTGCACATCCAAGTTTACAGTACCTTGTCTTTCCAAGGCGGTCACCCATCTAGGTCCTGACAAGGCTCGAGGTTTCTTAACTTCAGTGATCGTACGAGAACCAGTGTTTCAACGTGATGGAAGTTAGGAAGACTGAGATGCGCCAACTTAAGTTTGAAAGTCTCAACTATCTAAAAAAAAAAAAAAAAATCAGCATTCGCTTTTTTTTTAATTCCAGGGTTAGAGTCTCTACCGCTAGTGGGAAGCATGTAAACCACTTAAGTATTGTGCGCCCTGTGTAGGGATTCGAACACAGTCTCTGCTGCTTTGGGAAATCGACGTCACTTCCGGATGAGCGAAGCCTCTAAAACGGCAGTGGAAATATCTTAAAGTCAACAATGTCGCATGTAGTTGATGCTTTAGTCAGTAAACAAGAGCTTGTCACAGGTTCTATCGTAATGGTGACAGATTGTCGCCTGAGCAAACACTATAAGACAAACAGTAACCACCGCTGCACAATCTCTTCCCATCTGGGATTCAAACAAGATCAATACGCGACCTAGCTACGGGAAACAGCCGTCAGGATCTCCGACTGTGCAGGCTCTTTAAGGATAATTCCAGTTGCGGCTCGGCTGGGGAACGGGTGATGATTTGAAGGCGCTATCGTCATCGTCATCTTTTCCTATCTCGCCAGTATGTATAAATCATGCAAGTGAGAAAATCGAAGCGTTTCACAGAGGAAAAGGGTGGTGGGTCCAAATTGGTTCGAGCAGGTTGGCGAGTGGGGAGACGACGCGAAATATGAAGCGCTTGTTTGTTCTGTCTCATGAGATTATTTGATCAGGCTCTCGTCGGGACATATATGCTGGACAATACGCTCTAAACAAATGATTAGGAGACACAAAAATAACGCAGAAAACGATGTCGGATGGTTTTCAAAAATTCACGCGCGTTCGTGCAAACACAGGGCTCGAACATAGAGCCGTTGTTGTCAGATATATTACACTGTTACATTCTAACACATGAAATAAAAAAAAATTGTGACTCTGTCTTATGAGTTGGGTGGTTGCACATTTCCCGCCATTGTCTTTGACCGGTGTTCGAACCTAGACATTTACAGCTTAGACCCGCCATGCGACGTATACAGTCTCGAATGATCCTCATGGTAAGAAGGAAGTTACCACCGAACAGCTTCTTCCTAAGAACTACTACTCCATAGAACCAGAGAGGGTGCTTCCTCGATCACTACATTCTTATATCAAACGTCTTAGTATTTACTTTCAACAACTCATTCAGTAGCCCTCTACTTTGACTTGCTCTTGGGCCTTATACTGAGTGAACAACAATGCGAATATTTTTATTTGAAAGATTGGCTAATCCCAATCTTTATTTTTTTGGTTAATCCCTTTAGATTCACTCATACGAGGAGGTGCTGAAAATTTCCTGGATCAAGACACTTCTAAAATCCAGACCAAATAAATGCACATAAAATTTTTTCTTGGAATTCTTTGGTTGGGCCGAGAACTTTTTAGCAACACATCGCATTTATACGACTCTTTTTTAACCGATTAAATTTTCAGCACTCCTTGCTTTTAGGCAGATGAGATTTTCAGCACCTCTTGGAATTTATATGAATTTTTAACTTAATGACCTTTTCAGTACACCTTGCATTCATATGGCTTTTCGATTGACGAATTTTTCAGCATAGCTCGCATTTATACGACTGACAAACTTTTCAGAACCCTACTAATTTATACGACTTTTTGACAGACGAGTTTTTCTGCACCTCCTCAAATTTATACAATTTTTTGACTGACGAATTTTTCAGCACCAATTCAATTTTTCAAGTCAAGAATATTTTTAAATTGCTTGAAACTTCACCAACTGGTTATCAATATTTATTCGGTTTATTTTCAGCCGGGGGCCCAATACCTGTAGCATTGTAGCGTAAAGGGGCACCCAGTGAGTATCAACCTTCTTTTATGCGCCATGGCCCTTCAGGATTTGGCAGATTCATTCACAAAAAGTTAAGTAGGTTTCTCGCTGTTTGTTTTTTTACTCCCAGTTATTTTGTTTGTGCTGTTCGATAAAAGTGACTCACCTGATTCTTTTTACTAAAAATATTTTTTTCTATTGTTTTTGGAGTTAAAATAATTTTTAATCTTACTAATATAAAGACCCCTTCCCAACCACCTAGGAAAAAAGTTTATTCACCCTCAGGTATTCTATTGATAATTATAATTTTGGATATAAATAAGATCCAGGAAAAAACTCTGTGCAAAAAAAGTGACTCAGATATCGCATTCTAATGATTAAACTGGTAAATTTAAAGAGCTTTTGACAAAATATTGAAAACTATTTTACAATACACTCAGAACAATATTCCAGAGAATTCCAGAACAGCTTAAATTAAATCTCGAGTATACCAGAATATTTCAGAAAGCCTCACACAGCATAAAAACAGCTTGAAATAGCCACTCAAGTTACTAACCAGATGAAAGGGTACAAACACGCATCAGAACCACTTAAGGCATCTAATATTGCTCTCTCCAAAGCAGGCAAGTCTACGAGAGAAATTGCAGAAATTGCTATAACCTCGCAATCAACTGTCTCTCGAGTGCTTAGGGCACATAATGATGCACAAGGGGACGAAAGAAAAAGATTGATGATAGAACTGGCAGGGTAATCAAGAGAGAAGTTGCGAAGAATAGGACTATAACTAGCCAAGAAATTGCAGCCAGTCTAAGCGAAGAGAAAGGTGTTAGTCTTTGCCTCTTCAATAGTCCGTCAGAACAAGGTTACAAATCTTGTTAGAACAAGGCTACAAATCTTCTACACGACGTTTTAAGCCACTAATAAGCAAAGCCAACAAAGCCAAGAGACTTGAATGGGCTCACTATTACAAAAATTTCACCGTAGAAGACTAGAAGAATGTTCTCTTCTTCGATGAAACGAAAGTTGAGCTAAATTCAAAGGATAAGGTGAGTCATTTTTATCGAACAGCACTGTAGGTCAGGTTAGTGTTAGATTTTCCAGGCCGTCTTTCTTTATTAGGCGTCACAGAAACTTAATCTTTTAAGTAACGATTTTCGTTAAAACTTCCTCATTAATCGCATGTGCCCATTAAATTCCCAGCATTCGTCGGTATAAGCATAACTCTCTCATTTTAAGTCTAAGAGATTTCTTCCCACACTGCACTGCGAAACATGAAATTAGATATCGCATCCCAGATTTTTTTTTAATCATTTCATCCCAAGCAAAGTAATAATGTCACGAACATGCAATGGTTTACTGAAAGTTGTAAAAACTGAGAAAACGTTACTGAGGAGAAAGGACAACAAAAGAACAGGTTTAAGGAAGACAGGAGATGGCGATTGACGTTGCATTTAAATTTTTGAAGACTGTAGGGGGTAAGGAAGCAATAAACCGGAAAAAAAGTTCCAAAGTGAAAAAAAAAAAATAAATAAAAATAAAACAGCTCATAAGAACAACTGCTATTAAAATATTTATAGAAAAGACAGAGGGAGGCCACATTACGGCGGTGGGACTGAGGTCGAAACGTAAGGTTTCGCCTGACGAACTCTTTTCCGATTTTTTCTGCCCTGCAACCTTTCAATCTTCAAAGATTTAAATCCAACGTCAATCGCCATGTTCTGTCTGTTCTTTTATTGTCCTTTCTCCTCACTAAAATCTTCTCATTCTCTTTCATTCTCAATTACCCTTTGCGTCTTCGTGGCATTATCGCCATCTTCTGTCTTCCTGAAACCTGTTCTTTTATTGTCCTTTCTCCTCACTGAAGTCTTCTCATTCTCTTTTACTCCTAGTAAACCATTTGCGTTTTAGTGGCATTATCGCCATCTTCTGTCATCCTGAAACCTTGTCTTTCTTTTTCATTCCCAGTAAATCCTTGAATCTTAGTGGCAATGTCGTCAACTTCTGTCTTTCTGAAACCTGTTCTTTTATTGTCCTTTCTCCTCTATAAAGTCATTTCTTTATCTTTCACTCTCAGTAACCCCTTGAGTCTTAGTGGCGTTATCGCCAACATCAGTTTTACTGAAACCTGTTCTTTTATTTTCCTTTCTCCTCACTAAAGTCTTCTCATTCTTTTTCACTCCCAGTAACCCCGTGCGTCATAGTGGCATTATCGCCATCTTCTGTCTCCCTGAAACCTGTTCTTTTATTGTCCTTTCTCCTCACTGAAGTCTTCTCATTCTCTTTCATTCAAAATAACAACTTGCGTCTTAGTGGCATTATCGCCATCTTCTGTCTTCCTGAAACCTGTTCTTTTATTGTCCTTTCTCCTCACTAAAGTCTTCTCATTCTCTTTCATTCAAAATAACAACTTGCGTCTTAGTGGCATTATCGCCATCTTCTGTCTTCCTGAAACCTGTTCTTTTATTGTCCTTTCTCCTCACTAAAGTCTTCTCATTCTCTTTCATTCAAAATAACAACTTGCGTCTTAGTGGCATTATCGCCATCTTCTGTCTTCCTGAAACCTGTTCTTTTATTGTCCTTTCTCCTCACTAAAGTCTTCTCATTCTCTTTCATTCAAAATAACAACTTGCGTCTTAGTGGCATTATCGCCATCTTCTCTCTTCCTGAAACCCGTTCTTTATTGTCCTTTCTCCTCACTAAAGTCTTCATTCTCTTCATTCAAAATAACAACTTGCGTCTTTAGTGGCATTATCGCCATCTTCTGTCTTCCCTGAAACCTGTTCTTTTTATTGTCCTTTCTCCTCACTAAAGTCTTCTCATTCTCTTTCATTCAAAATAACAACTTGCGTCTTAGTGGCATTATCGCCATCTTCTGTCTTCCTGAAACCTGTTCTTTATTGTCCTTTCTCCTCACTAAATTCTTCTTTATTCTCTTTCATTCAAAATAACAACTTGCGTCTTAGTGGCATTATCGCCATCTTCTGTCTTCCTGAAACTGTTCTTTTATTGTCCTTTCTCCTCACTAAATTCTTCTCATTCTCTTTCATTCCCAATAACAACTTGCGTCTTGGTGGCATTATGGCCTTGTTTGGGTTGAAACAATTAAAAAAACCCTGTGATCAAACACTTTTCTTATTAATGATATGAACGACTAGCTTGTTAACACTTACTCCACGGTGAGAGGCTCTCCCCAAGGGAT